TTTTTTTTTCTTATGAATTTTATAACTCAACTCAGTATGATTAAAAACAGCTCACTCTTGATATTTTCAACCACTTGCTGAAGAATTTGCGACAATCATTTTTAGAAAGCCTGCAACACGCAAAAGAGCTTTCGCCACTTGAGTACTCATATGCATATGGACTTRTATATGTCTGTTGTTATGTTTACTGGCAGTAAGAGTCTTATGAACCCGTTTCAAAGCGGTCGTTAGAATGGTCTTTTGCGAAATTGCCGATTTTATACAATGTAAATATGTAATTGAACACGTTTTTCAACTTAGACTGTGGCTTTAGTCTCCATACACTACAATTGTTGTTACACCACACCCGATCACACTCACACACACACACATGCATATATGGTACAAGGCGATTAATAATTCTAAGTATAATAGACAGTTAATGAGACTCGTAAAACAAGCGACMAGTGTATTTACGGTCACAAAGTTTTCCAAAGAAAGTGAGTTCAAACCGAAAGATACATACATACATATATATATAGGAGTATATACAAATGTAGTTGTGGAAAAAATGTTTGTGTCTACTTTAATGACTTTGCACATCGCATAGTACATAGCATATGTACGAAGAAAATGTAGCACCCTGTAGTTTTATAATTTTTTTTTTTGGTATTTTGTGTGGATTTTATTAGAATTTTTTTCTAAGGGGATCACTGATTCTTGTCTTAGAGGGTAATCGGRTGTAGTTTCAGATGAGTATAATTAGTAAGCTGTAGATTATTATATCTTTGTTTCTTACTCTAAATGTATTGTCTATCCACAAAGTAGGTAGGAAGGTAGAGYAGATTTCTGACAACGCACATAGGYCTTTAGGAAGCCCATTGTGAAACCAGYGGGACTAAAAKCTGCTCACTCTAAGAGAGSTTACCCAGACAGTGTGTCTARAGTTRACATTCGAGCCAATTATAATGCCGAATCTTCTGCGTCTGGCCTCTGCTAAAGCTCTGCTAAACAGATCCAGCGGTGGACGCATCTTGTCTTTATGCGGCAGGTAGGACAGAGTTCTCTCGGTACTATCTTCCAGTCCAGCGGTATCATCGTTGGTGAAATCAAAAACATCAAGTACGTTTCTAGCCAAAAAAAAACAAATAGACGCTGGTTCAGCCTGTATTACTTTATGCTGAATCCGGAGATCCAGAGGTACCGCTGCTGGTTTGTTATGGCTCCTGCATTAGAAAAACGTCGAAGCAAAACATCGACGCAGGACTTCAATCCTCAAAACTCATATACAGCAGTAAAAATTCCACACCATCGTCCTTACCGACCTGAGCCGCCTCGAAAAAGCACTCCAGACTAAAGACGGATTGATCAACTGACGATTCGACAACCACGCTCACCGCGTCCTATGACACAAAGTCGTTCTCCATTATTGATTTCAACTCCTCCCTCTTTCTTTCCAACTCCACTAAAACAGTAGGTCATTCGTCGGAAGATTTTTCTGTCTTCTTGACCATTCTCTCGAGGTCACAACTTTGCAACACTGAGAAGAGCGAGGAACTAATTGTTTTGGAATATTAGTGATTGTCGATATTTTCTCCAACCTAATCACCCTACAGTCTTCGTGAGAAGAGAATAATTGTTACAACGTAACATATCTTCGATTTCAGCCGAGGTGGAGGGTTCAATTGGAAGCCATATAAGGGCACGAGTCCGCATCCGGAGATTAGATTTGGCAACTGCCTCGAGACTTGCTTGCTTTCATACCTCACAAACCCTGGCTACCGGCTCTTTCTAAAGTGGCGTTGACCGTTCGTGGCGCACCTTACTAGTTTGTGCATACCGAGGTACTTTCCGGCATCCAGGCTATGACCTGGGGTTTCACCTGATCATCCTCATTAAGATGGTTTCATCTCTCCTCTACTGCGGTACACAGCTTGCTCTACTGAGCTGGCAAGATTACCGATTTGGCTAAACATCAGTGGCGCATCAACTAGTGGCTTCTTGCCGAAACAGGATTCGCCTCCAAAAATATTTAGGTTCATTGACCTCTTTTCCACCAATTGTTATTTGAGAACTTAAAATCCAGAACCCCATTGGGAAAACAAAAATAATATTTTTAATAATATCGGCTTTCTTCTCTCGAATACTTATGTAAATACAGTTTGTTKTATATATACTTGTTGGTAATCTGGGACTCTAGTATTTAATTATTCAATCTTTTCGGGTATTTAACTAACAATTGTTCCAAAGTTTAAAAACTTCAAATTACAAAGAAAGTCATACAACGTAACTATAAAACTTTAGCTCGCAATCAGCGTCGCTATGAAGACTCAGAAGAAGATATCGCCTATGAAGCAGCGAAGCAATTGGGCCAATTAAACTATCGTCTCAACCWGCTGGCCTTCGAAGAGCAATCCCGGCAAATATCTCTACCAAATATCACTATTAATAATCTCGTAAGCCGCATACCCTGCACCTGTGACAAGGGTATATGCAAGTGCTGTGCTGGTGAGTGGAAAACATTGGAATCTTATGTCGCAATATACATTACAAATAAAATTTTTTAGGATTCCTCTCTGTAATCGGCTTAAATAGCTGCACCGAGGTCGTCTATCGACCCGACGAATTCTCTTTCGAGTTGCGCATGCGTGTCAATAATAATGTTTGGTTCAAACGTAAGGTCTCCGGTCAGAACCCGCCGCCATTTTGCTTCCGTCCGCCACGTTTCAACTTTGCTAGGGCCTGTATACAGTTCCATGACATCTGGTTTGTGGGACGAAATATGCATGTCTGCATGTATTTGTCGGGTTCATTTCAAGGCTACGAGCTATTCGAACGGTGAGTAAATGAACAAAAACAAAATTGAAACAGTGTAAGCATTCCTTCTTTTATTTAGCAACTTCGATTGTCTACTCTTCGGCGATAAGGGCGTGAAAATTGTTAAACCCGAGGACGGCTATCCTGTGCGTCCCACAGACGTGGATATCGATGATGGTGATGATGAAATCGAGGAGTATGATGAGAATGTGGTGCGCCGAAGACGAAACAGTCGTCTGAGTAAAGTAATGCGTTCGAGAGATGAGGCCTAATCTATTCATATTATATTTCTCATGCCATTCTCATGACTGATAAACTTATCTWAAATTATTTTCTATTTTATATCTAAATTAGCTAGTTTTACATCTAAATTATTTTATACCACAACACCATGCATATAAACTCATTGTGTTTCAATGCTTTATTAAGGGTCTACAAGAACGGAAGCTTTGAACGGAATCCGAAAAAGTTTGTTTGATCATTGTTTTCTCCAACCAGTTAATTATTAATTATCGATTTCTTTCGGGACTGTCCATTTTTCGGACATTAAACACATATTACCGTAAGAACTTAACGAATCAAAGAAGAAAGTTAGATTGTCCAGAAAATAACCTTTGKTCGAATTAAATATGGATCAATTCCGGTAAAAGGACCAGATCACAACTCCGTAAAGCGAATTTCGGGTATGCTTACATACAACCAGGAAATAAACGTCCATTATCGTGAAAGGCATCGACCCCTCTATTAAACTTTCCTACCGTTAATGACATTCTAGGCGTCAAATCTTCACCTATCGCGGGATAAGGGCTGCAGTTGTTTCGAGAAACAACAAAATGATGAAATTGTATTAATGTGAGACGAAATTTTAGAAGGAAATTACAACTACCTTTTGTTTTACATTCTCAGAGAGCTCTATTCCAAGATTACTAGAATTTAGATATGCCGACTTATGGATAGTTTTTCTCCACCGGCGACTCTGGACTTACATACACTCGTAGGAGTATACATGAAATCTGGTCAGAAGGCAACCATATATTCGGAAAGTCAGGCCGAATTGCTGGCCTTATCGATGCCAAAGATTAATTCCAGCGTAGTCAAAAATTGCAGGAATCATTTAAACTCACTGGCAGGTCAACTACACTTGTCCATAATTTGGGGGCCCATTTCAGCATTTTCCGCAACGAAAAAGCAGACGAGGTAGTCAAGCCAAGAACCATTTTGGACGAACCCGAGACGGTGTGAATATCATGCCCACCGGGAAATATCCAGAGAGAGCAYTATACGCATTTTGAACAAATAGTTGAGATCAGGTGGAAATAATCCATAAACAGCCCAGAAATAGTATATACAGACTTCCAGCTACCATAACGCGACCAAAGAACAGACCTCTTTAAAMAGATGCCTTAAAAATGTTGCCGACTTATAACAATACTTGCTTGCTATGTACTAGTTAGAAGGATTACATATTTCCATTTCGCTAACTTCTCTTTCATTCCCAGCTATATTACAAACTCACACAGAATACTTGAAACCCATCAGGCCCACCRAACCTTGAATGGCTGTCCACAAGAAGCATAGTGGATATAAGTAGTTTCATAGAGAACACCAAATGGGTGGAACGCAAGGATTGAACGAGGTAGCAAGTTTATAAAGTTCATACAATCTTGTATCAAAATGSAGATAGATTTATTTCTATATATTTATTTCTTAGAAACAGCAAGAGCTTTAAAGGCTGCCATTAGAACTGCTTATTGAGCAAGAACGTGTTTCATACCCAAAATATCCACCAAAATCATTCGAACGCACWYGCGAGRGAACTCGAGCTCTCTTGCCATCTCTGTAACACTWGCCCAATGATTTKCAAATACCATGTTCTTCACTTTTTTAATATTATCATCAGTTCAAGGTGTCGAAGGACGTACAGAATGAGGTAAAAATACCAAACAGACTTAAAAATTAAGACATCGGTTAGAAAAAGTGCAGTGTTTGAAAATCACTGATAGTTTTAAAGCAAAGCATAACCAATTTAAAAAACGGAACACCCAAAAGGGTACATAAGACCCCCTATAAAGCTTGACAAGCAATGTGAATTTAGCTTTGTCTCTCTGACTCCGTTTATCTGTATATACGCGAACTAATYCCTCMTTWTTGGGGATATCGATCTGAAATWTTGCACACGTYCTTTTCTTCTTAAGAGGCCACTTATATGTCGGAGTTATCAATATCGGTTTACTATAACATATAGCTGCCATACAAACTAACCAATACAAATCAGATTTTTGTATGAAAAAASAATTTATTTGACAAGTTACCWTTACGAAATTTTGCACAGATTATTTCCTAAAGCAGCTATGCAATCTGCGTAGAAATTGTTTAGATCGGRCARCTATATCATATRGCTGTCATACAAGCTGTCCGATCCAAACTAAGTTCYTGTTCAGAAAACTTTTTTATTTTACRAGATAACTTTACRAAATTTGGCACAAATTATTTTCTAAAGTAATTATGCAATCTGCGCACAAATCGTTTAGATCGGACTACTATATTATATAGCTGCCATACAAACTGRCCGAGCAAAATTAAGCTAAGCATGCATTTATACCATTTTATGTTGTAACATATGCAACTGTTAAGGGTATTATGCCTATAATTCTAGGTGCAGCCATAATTCACGTTCTTTCTTGTTTTAATGTGTTGTTGTGTAGAAGCTTTGAACGAACTGAAGCAACTTTCTATCAGCTTTAAACTTTATAATATTTCATTTAAATTATTTTATACATATTTTTTATATGTGTATATTATTTATATGTTATATACTATTATATGCATATATCCAACTGTCCATATATCATATCTTACAATACTCTCCATACAACTTCCTTAAACTAAGTCTAGCAATAAGCGCCTATAACTTGCAAAATTTGCTCTACAAAGTGTTAAGCGAGTTTAAGCATATAAATATTAAATAAAATGCATGAGCATAAGTAATCACCAAACCACCAAGAAGCCAATAAACATTCATCTTTCTCATACACGGCAGCGCTCAGTAAAGAGATCAGGCAACAAAAGCTAAAAAAGACACAAAAGCGCAACGMCGCCTGTTGCATGCGCTCAATGCAACAAGGTAAGTGACTAAACATGCGATTGCGCCCTTTCACTTTGCCATTGAAGTGTGAACATTTTCAGTGCAAAAGTGGCAAAACAAAGCAAAAATAATGGCATGGAAATTTTTAAATCAAAAATCAAGCACATAAGTGCTGCCACTCGAGCGTAAATAATGAATATGCACTTGCATACAGAACTCATGTTGCAGCAAAGGTTACGTGAAACATAACATACATATGTATATGTATATGTATGTTTCACCATTTGAATGAATGAAAAAACATCCTTACCAGCAGCGCTTGACTCGCCTGCCTGCCTGACCTTGCACACTCACAAGGTGCTTGATGTGTGGCATGCAATTTCCACTGCAATGCTTGCAACACATCACCCAGCCGCAGCAAGTATACTACATGGCATATWCATGCAGTACTCATGCGCTACTTCGCACTCCATTTTCACATACAGCTGCGGCCCGTTGCTGGCGCATCCTGCCACGCCCGCCACGCCAACACATTGAAGTGCAAATTAGAGCACACACAAAGCGTTGAATGGGTGAATGTGTGCCGTGTGGCATGCTGCAATGCATATGCAAATGCAAAAAATACACAACAACAATCACGACAACAAAACAATTTGCTGCAAAGGATGCATGCAACGCGGATGCAACGCTTCTTTAGTGCTTGCTCACAAAGCGGCTTGTTAGCAGGATACTGCAGTACCTGCCACATACTTCATACATAAATGCATGGATATGTGTGAGTGTGTATGTGTGTGAGACCTTCTTCTTCGCCCGTTTKTTGTCATTATTTTCGTGTAATAAAGGACTATTAGGGATAAAAGCTGTCGTCCTGCAGCTGCTCACTGCAGGCCTTAACTCTTCAACTCCACTTATGCGGTGAATATTTTCACACTTAGGCAACGTGCCGAGGTGTATGAGATGCTATGCCTTTATTATAAGATAACGGTTTAACATAAAGTATGTATAATAAGCACTTCGTTTAAGGCACCATATGTTTTGCGCGTAACACCTGTGGATATACATAGATATATATAGAATAATGCTAATTAAATTCCTCTACTGTTACCAAGATAAGGAGGAACTTGACAGTCGACTTGCAATTTTGATAAGTGCTAACTTCGTCGTCAACCTGAATTTAAGTACCTAAGGCTCATGCTAGACAGGCAGTTCTCGTAGAAACCCGAGATCGAGGAATGATCAACGAGGGCAAAGCATAACCAATTTAGAAAGTGAAATACCCAAAAGGGAACGTCAGAGACCCTATAAAGCGCGACAAGCTGTGTGAATTTAGCTCTATCCCTCTGACTCCGTTTGTCTGTATATACGCGTACCAATTCCTCAGCTTTTGTGATGTCGATCTGAAATTTTGCACACGTCCTTTTCTTTTCAAGAAGCTACTCTATTCGTCGGAGTCAAGAGGGTTGCACGACGAAGGCATCGGTCGCATGTATTGCTGCAATCGAGTCATTGGCAAAAGTTGGGGACTTTTACCAAAGGTAGTTCTTTGGCTCCAGCTCTGAAAGTATGCGACGCAGTACCCGCCGGGGGAAGCAGAGGAAGAGGAAGACCTCCACTCCGTTGGAAGGATCAAGTGGAGAAGGACCTGGCTTCACTTGGAATATCTAATTGGCGCCACGTAGCGAAAAGAAGAAACGACTGGCGCGCTGTTGTTAACTCGGCTATAATCGCGTAAGACCACATCCGCGAAAATTAGGCGTGTGTTCAATGGACGACTCTCATCAGTATTTGTGGTTTTACTGCCTGTAATATCGATGGACATAGCCGCAAGGTGTATGGTGGCGGAAGCTGCCCACAGACCCATAGAATCCGGATGATTAGATGAATGTTAGCAAGGGCACTCTTAAATCATGGCATACTTCATTTTCATCCGAACATACTTGGATTATCAAGTCGCCGAGCTCAGGTCTGGCTGTCGTTTCTCTGTTCACATATCTTCGAGGARGACAATTGAGCGAAGAACTTGCTGAAGGAAAGAAGCATTTTCTGGATGGATCAAAGCTTGTGGAGTACGCTACCGGGAACTTTCCACCAACTTCAGCTTTAGGCTTCCTCACCACTCCAGCGTCCTTCAGRCGGAKGTAGCTGCCATAAAGTTAACAGTAGCTCTRCTGTTATGCAGCATAGCGTCCATCAGAGTGGTGACTMTCCACTCYAAWAATAGAACAGCGRTATTAGCTTTGAGTACGCTGACTGTGYGCTMAAGACTARTWAAAGGATGTCTGGAATCCTTATCTCTAGCCTCGAGTTACTTTAAGATTAGACTGTGTGCCTACAGTGGCATTTCAGGAATATGCAAGGCTGACGAGCTATATTTCCTATAAGATAGGTACTTCAGTCCGAATAACTGCAAAATGATAATTTGTAGAAATTCCGTTGATGCTGTTCGATGGAGTTTTATAGATAAAAGAGCACACTTGCGATGTCAAGACACTCCAATGTAGCAAATATGTCCCTGAACAGTCCAATCAGACTATCTCCAAAGAGATATGGAATTACATACAGTGCTAATCTCGGCACACGTAAGTAAATGTTTCGGTCAACATGGGCCTTATCACTTGACCTTATGGATTTGTGTTACACTCAAGTCAAGCCAATGTGTTGGACCGCCACCTGTGAAATCTCATACAGATAATTGTTTGAGCRACTACAGCGGCTTGCTGCTCTCTGCRTAACGGKAGCACTGGCWATTCTTTCAATGGATGCACTTGGARAGTTACTAAACCTACCACTAACTGACATTGTAGTGGTGAGCTTGGCAGCGGAATCAGCTGCAACATTGGCGACGTTAGTTGAATTTTTCGCAAAATCCTTGTGGTATAGCTCGATAGGCAAAAGGATCTGGGAGAGATGATTTTAAGTTACACTATTAGAGGGTGGACGGCGCTGAGGCATGTAACTCACAAGTCGAAATCTCAACACTGATGGAGTAGACACTGGAATCYGTTGTGCGTCTTTGATAGACGCGTCTTTAGTAGTAGGTGATAGTAGATTAGTGGCTGCCGGAAAGCAGCTGTATATATACGGGGTGCAGTCCACAACTGTGTTCTGGGAAATGAAATAGCTGATGATATCGCGAAAAGTGGCATCCGCTTTGATACCGAACTTATCAGTCGCTAAAAACAATACACAATATTTTTCAGAGAGAGAGCTAACAGACGGATCAGTGCGAGACGGCATGCCGCTGTAGCTGCCTGAACCAGCTGTAGGGTATCCAGGACCAYCTAGATCATGTGCAAGGGAGGGAAAGAAAAGCACATAAGCTTTAGCACACGGTYTCGAAAGCACTGCATGGCGTTTRTTRACCTAGTCATAGATCCCAACTTAYTGGCATTATATGCGAGCCATATTGACATTATTAATGCTAACAAATGTAGACTACACAGATAAGTTGGCATGAGAGAGATGCTGGAATAACGTCTATGCTTTTGAACGCGCTTATCTCGAACTCGGCTTAGATAACTARGAGSTWYGCTTTTYAMTGCATTGGCTGAARTATCAGAATTARTTATCARCTGGCTTTTAAAGGTCGCAAAAAGTGTTGACGGCCTGCCAGACGTAAACTGTAGTTCATATTAATAATGAAGCTTTAACTGGCATTACAAGGGACCCCTATGCCGTGATAGCATGCCATAGTAAGCTAACCTAATCTAATTTGTTTGGTACGAGTACTGTAGTAGTACCCTTACTATTATTTGACAGGTGAAATAAACAGCCCTTAAGAAACGTATGTCAATGAAARCACTTTAATATATTTTACTTTAATTTTAATTACCGTTAGTTGTATCATATATGTATGTATATGTAAAAACATTTTCCTTTCACTTTTCATTACGCCTGTAGTCGATTTT